ATGCATCGTTGGTAGGATCCAGACTAACAACTGCTATTTTTCTGGTAACTAAAAATGATGAAATGGTCAATGCAAACATTATCGACAGATTCAAAAACAAAAACTAAGGCCAAGGAAAAACTTGAAAACCAACAAAAACTCGAAATCTTATAGGAGTCCTATCTTTCCACAGTTTTCCTTCTTCAAAATAAGAATAGAAACCTCTAATTTGAGTGCCTACACATATATACATCGGATAAAAATCAAAAATAAAAAATTCGAAACACCACCAGAAATAACAAAAATGATGAAAAATAAACCATAAAAATTTTCAACAAAAAGTTTAAGACTTTAACTCACAGGAAATCCTGTAACCAGTTGTAAGTGGATGCACCCTCACTGGTGACCAATTGCAAAGTGGCCCTTTTGCCCAGCTCTGTAACCAATTGTAAAGTCGACTTTTTGCCCAGTTCACTACGGTTTCATTTCATTTATTTTCATTCGTATGTAGATATATTTGAATCATTGATTGCTATATGAACTCTAGAAAGCCACGAATGGGAGTTGGAGTATTAAAGGACTCAACACTTACTATTTAGTTTAAATACTCTATTTGCACGTCTGCAAGTAAGCTGAATTCACAACCTATGCCAATTCAAGGTGTAGAGTTTCACCTTCTTCGGACCCATAAATGGTCGAAAAGTTCTAAAATCAGCCAGAGAAAACTGGGATCCTCATCAGAAAAACCCACCAAGGTGCGCTTATGGAACTCCTCGCCTTTTAATCTGCATTACCAGAACAAAATGTAAATTCACCAATTAAATGCGTATATCAATTTCATAATGTAGTTTATTACAAAGATTAAGAAGCGAAAATTACCATAGCAGTAGTGGCAGCTCCAAAAAGGGCAATGAGGGATGGCACAGCTACTTGGCCAACTTATCTGGCTAGGACTTCAAACACCAAAACCCCGTACAATGCACAAAAGGATGCTGCAAAAGAATTAACAAAAGAATAATGATCGCAAGAAACAGTTCAGTATAACTTTAAAAACTTTGGGAAGTTGATGGGGGCATAATCATCATATACCAATTGATTCATGTATCGTGACCATCCATCCAAGCAAAGGCATCTACATACACTGCGGTATGGTAGATATTTTATGTGCTCCAGATTCATTATCTGCAAAATATGCATCTATCGAACAACATAGTAAGTCTTTATCTTAACGGAAAAAAAGAAATTACAAAATTTAAACTTCGATCTAAAAGTTATTCATTAATTTCTTTATATATAAGAAATTATTGCACAAAATGAATGTATCCAGTTCACCACAGAGTAGTAATCGATTCTAATTTGATCTACATGATCGAATATGTGTGTGTGTACATATATATATATCTGCATGTATATATATAGCCATTGTATGAAAAGCGCTAACAGATTAAAGTGATCTCTTAAAACTCGATATGGAGCATCGTTCTCTTCCCATGTTTGTAGGATATATTACATGGTTCCACTTCAAGCATTCTGGCCAACAGCTATGCGGTCCATTAGACAAATTAGATGGTTTAGTAGGTCCTACATCGTCAATCTCTAGCCCTATATCAATATTGTGTAGTGGGGAACCTTTATTTGAATCAAGCAATTCATAGATACAAAAATTACTTATAAAATAACTTTGAAAGTAAGTAAAAAAAATATGTTCTATGCCTATTGCTTTTGCCGAACTAAAAAAAAAGTGGGAAATGCTTGAAATTGGCCAGAAAAAACTCGCATCTTCATCGGAAAACCCACCGCAAGCTGGGCTTATTGTACTCTTCGATAGAGGGGTAAATTCGAACATAAAAAGCTCGAGTCTTGTTGTTAGGACTCTTCTGAGTCCCGGGAGAACTGCGAGAGGAAAGAGAGAGAAGGGATAAGGAAGAATTAAAAAATAAAAAATAACAGTGCATATATTATGCGATCCAGGGACACCATTGGAATAAGGTTAAAACTGTGAGGTTGAGACTCACCCAGAACTTAAGAAATAACTGCATATAGTATTAACACACATAAATGATCAATTGAAGATCATATCATGTGCAGCAAGCCAAAACAAACAATTTGAAATCAAACCAACCAAAACAAACAAAAGTCATTTCCCATGGAAGATTATCACAAAATTGCAAGACCTATACAATCTAAATAAAGTGGGTTCTACGGGGTGGAAGAAAGCATAAAAGCTGCAGTGGAGCAAACCCGGGAAGGTAGGGTAGAGAATACGCCACCGAGAGAACCTGAGAATGGTGAATGGAAGGATGCAAAATATTGTATACCAACAACAAAATATCGCATAAACTTAGGAATTGGATCATGCTTTTGATTTTATCTTTTACCTACAAACAATCATATACATAGTACTTTATATATTTTTACCAAAAAACGTCCCTAATAGGCTAATATATGTAATAATACATGAAAAATAATTTACCTACCATGTATACAAAAATGTTATTTGATTCAAAATATATAATCCGGGTTTTCTAATATATATATGGGTAAATTACATAATACCCCCTCAGGTTTGAGGTCTATTACAACCTCATACAACATCTTTAAACATTTCACTTTCATACATCACCTACTATTTTATTTCAATATAGTACATCCGTTACATTTTTCATTCATTGATCCGTTAAGAGTTGACGTGGTTGCCACATTTGTGCCACATGGCTGCCAAATTTATGCCACGTGGCAAAAAATTAATTTTTTTATACATTTAAAAATAATTAATTAAAGAAAAATTATTATAAAAAATAATAAAATAATAATAATCACTAGAACCCATCTCCCTCTCCTGCACCCCACCCACCCTCCCTCCCGTCTCTTACCCCATCCACCCTCCCTCCCTTCTCTTTCCACAGCCAACACCCAGAAGAACTCACACCCATAAAAATGACGCTCGTCTCCTCAGATCCCACAGAGCCCCATCTTTCTCCACAATCCCTCACCTGCGTCAGAACCCTCGCCGGCACGGCCTCGTTTTGGCTTTTCTTCAACGCCGAGCACAGCGACAGCAGCTTCCGCCGTGTACTCCGTCACCCATTCCGAGATGGGTTGAGGTTCTGATCTGGGTTTTTGATTGGGGGTCCGATTGAGATTTGGATCGGCTTGAAGTTAGAGAGAGAGAGATGAATGGAGTTGGGAGACAATGGCAAAGATCTGGTGCGGCGGGGGTGCACCACCAGCGGCAATACTCTGATAACTTCTTGGAGACTTCATCCAACGGGATATGCTTCAGTCAGCTGGTCTTCAATACCTTTCATCTTCCAACTCATTTGATCCTCCTCCTCGGGTATTTTTTTGCTTTCCCAATCAAATCTATCCGAATTTAATCAAAACGTTGTAACAAATCTGAAATTTGGGTACATTGTAATAATCATTTATTTTGTGGGATATGAGTAGGAGAGCACCATTTTTATGGGTGTGAGTTCTTTTGGGCGTCGGCTGTGGAGAGAGAAGGGAGGGAATGAGGGAGGGTGGGTGGGGTGCAGGAGAGGGATGTGACTCGGGGGGGGGAGATGGGTTCTAGGGATTTTTTTGTTTTTTTTTAATTTTTATAATAATTTTTCTTTAATTCATTAATTTTAAATGTATAAAACAATTATTTTTTTTGCTACGTGGCATAAATTTGGCAGCCACATGACACAAATGTGACAGCCACTTCAGTTCTTAACGGATCAATGGATGGAAAATGTAACAGATGTATTATATTGAAATAAAATAGTAGGTGAAGAATGAAAGTGAAATGTTTTTAAAATGTTGTATGGGGTTGTAATAAACCTCAAACCTGAGGGGGTATTATGTAATTTACCCTATATATATAATCTAGGTGTAGTGTATATATATATATATATTTATATAATTGGAACAAATTAATTTACCTACCTACAAATTAATTTCCAATAATTTACCTACAAAAAATTATACCCCATGTGTAATATAATATCTTTTTTTTCACTAATACATGGAGAATAATTTACACAAAACAAGAAGAAATATATTTGATGTATTATATTGAAAAATATTATGTCATACCTATATTTATACAACAATGAAATGTGCCTAATATATGTAACAATACATGAAAAATAATTTACCTACAAGGTAGATAAGTGTTATTTGATTCAAAATATATAATACGGATTTAGTATAATTTTTTTTAATAATTGGAACAAATTAATTTACTTCCAAATTAATGCAATATATATATCACAAAAAAGGTAATTTTTTGGTATGATAAGGATACAATTAATGCAATACAACAGTTTATATATTTTATTTCACTTTTTCTACAACTTTTAATTTAGAATAAATTTAGGGATTTGGGAAAGTGGCATGAGTGTAAATAAATTGTATTAGTCGGTCAATAGTGTTCCGATGTGGCTGCAGATTTTAAATTTGGGCTTTTATTGGACATTTATATGTATATGAGTTTTTATCTAGGAATCATGAATTGTAAGGACCAAAATCTAAAGCACCTTTTAAAAAAAAAAAAATGAACTTGAGTGTAGAAGGGAGTGCACATTATTCTAACTAATATTCTTATTTGCAATAACAAAGGAGACAACTGCTCATTTTAAAAGTAAAAAAAAAAAAAAAAAAGTACATGTGCATGCAAATATATAAGACGAAAAAAAGTACATGTGCATGCAATATATGTGATGAACAATACTTGGGTATTCAAAGATAAGTAGGAATTTCTATTCAAAATTCTTAGTGTTTTAATCACAGAGTTTTGTGCTTATGATCGGAACAGTTAATACTATGAATCATATTGTAAATATCATCTTTGCAAAAAATAAATAAAAACTAAGGTCCTTTAGTCAATCTATTGTAGTAAATACATAAACGGTTTATAATGCTTTTACCAATACCGTTCATTTGTTTTTAAATAGTTTGATAACTAAACAACCTTAGTTTTAATTCAATTTTTGCAAAGACGGTCTTTATATGATGAATAATAATATGAATAGTTCTGATTATAAACATAAAATTCTATAAATTGACAACGAACAATTTTGAAAATTTTTTAGTAGGATTTACTACTAATAGTAGCCAAGCATTACAATTCCAAAAAGTCGACCAGTTGTGTTTACGTGGCTGTCTAAAATTCTACATATATACACAAGCTACTACCAAACCAAGAAACAGAAAAAAGGACAGCCATATGTTAAGATAACATCAATTTATCCGATCCAAGAAAGCCTTGAGATTCTTGTCAGAAGACCCACCTTCACTCACAGCCTCTCTTGCCAAATCTTTCCATTTCTTAGCATTCCTTCTCATCTCTTCACCAATCTCCCCACTTCCCATGACCAACTCCAAACACCTTTTGAGCTCGTCACCCGTAACAATCCCCTTCTCATTTGGTGTCACCCTCAATCCTGTCTTCCAAGCGTCCTCTATCAACTTGGCATTCGTTCCTTGGTCCGTCCACTGAGGAAACGCCACGACTGGCACCCCCGAAGCGAAGCTTTCCAAGCTTGAATTCCACCCACAATGTGTCACAAAGCAACCCAACGAAGGACTTGACAGAACCTCCACTTGACTACACCACGGCACTATCCTCCCTAGCTCTTCCAATTCCTCTCTGCAACTCAACATCTCTTCTTCTTCCTTCGCCTCATTATCTTCTCCCTTCTTATTGACTTTATCTCTAATAACCCACAAGAACGGACGGCCGCAATCCAACAACCCTTTGGCGATTTCCTCCATTTGGGCCTTTTCCAACACACAAATGCTTCCGAAGGACACATAAATCACCGACCCTTCCGGCTTCAAGTTCAGCCACTCCAGGTACGGAGAGTCCTTGGATTTTTTGAGAAGATCGCCTCCAAATGACTTGTCCGATGGATCCTTGCCGTCCAAGAAAGTCGTCGGAATCAATGGCCCGACTCCAATCAAATTGTACTTTTCAGTTGCTTTTAAGGCTTCCGGCTCTAGTGCATCGAACGTGTTCACTAGAATGATCGGGTTGGTTTCTCTCTCCAGCAGATCCATCTGTTCTTGAAACAACGGGAGGGCGAAATTGTAGGGATTTGTATCCACCATGAAGGAGGGAAGGTCTCGGCTTGTAAGAGATAATGGCAAACCTGGTAACTCTATTGAACATGGAAGGGCATCGTTCGTACCAGAACTAGTATTATCCCGGATGAGATCTTTGAACCCGTTAAAGTAATAGTAGTAGATGTCGAAAACTGTGGCTGGTTGAATCCAAAGCAGCACATTTGGGAGGTGAAGTTCATGCGCCACGTCCGCGGCCCAGGGGAGAAGTATTGTGTAGACCATGCAAGTGTAAGGGTGACCCTCGTTTTCACTTGAGACTACAAGGTCGGTGATGGCTTGTGCTCCGTGGTGCCGCAACTCCGACAAGTAGTGGTCGATGTTGTCTCCGGGCTTAAACCCGTCGTCGTAACCATCAGAGAAGGGCGCATAAGTCAATCCATCTGGAATTGAGCCATTGCCAATGCGATGATGGGCTGAGAGACTGGTAATGAAGGTGACATGCGCACCTGTAGTGTTGATAAGGCGCTTGGCGAATTGGAGGGAAGGGTTGATGTGGCCTTGAGCCGGATATGTGACAAGTAGAAAGCGGTGTTGCACCATGGCAGCGTATGCGATTGCGGAGGTGCGCGGTGGAGCGTGGAGTTGTTGGAAGTAGAATAAGTAGGTACCTAGTTTACTGGTGGAAAATTTGGTGCTGTGGGCTTATTAGCTTAGTGAAGTTGAAATTCTTGTGGGAGTACGTATTCAAGGTGGGGAATGCGGTGAGAGAATGGCAAGGCTTAAATAGGGGTTTGGGGGCGGAAATGTGACGTTTGTGGTGACGAATTGAAGGCGCTGGTGACAAAGCAAAGATGAGGACACTTGTGATTTGTGGTCTTCTCGGTGCATGCATATAATATTATGGGTAAAGACACGCTCATTACATATTTATACCATTATTTGTATCATTTCTATAATAACGATGCGATCCACATGTTTTGGTGGACTTTACCTCTGAGAGACTATACAAAATGTGATAAGTGTAGCATTATTCCTATTTATATCATATTTTGTAAATCATATGATGTAATTGTTGATGATTTGATTATTACTTAAGCTTTGATTAACGTAATTATTTTTTATTAATAACACATCACATATATAATGTACAAATTTAGTCTAAAGTTAATCTACCCAACATTACTCTTTTAAAATTGGTTTCATCAAACTTCGTAGCACATCACAAAGACTAAATCCAATCTAATGTGGTAGGATAGACAAATCATCGAAAAACTGATAAATATACTTGCTAGTGTTTGAATTGTTAGTTTATTAATTATTATTTCGATCTGGTTTGGTTGGCCGAATAATATATTAGGCCTCGTTAAGTCAGGAGTGAGGCCATGAATAATTGGGTTCGTACTAAAGAGCCTACACGGTTCATCATGGATGTGACCTTGAGGTCTTGTCTTCAATACTAGAAAAAAACTCAGGACCAAGACACGATCCGATGGTGGCACGCTCCCGCACCCTAAAACTGAAGGGAAAGAGATTATTTCTAGATTTCTTCCACCCAGTCTACCAAATCCACTTATTTGAATTATTGAAATTTGATCTAACAGTTAAAGTTATTATAACTTTTAAAGGGTCTTTCTGTTTGTAACCGTTGAATCAAATTTCAATGGCTCGGATAAGTGGACTTTGTGGACTTAGTGAAAGAGATCCGGAGAGAATCCCTTTTCCAAACTAAAGTCCTAAAACTAAAAGAAGGGCCAAATTTGTTTCTTGTGATCCTAAGCCGAAAGGAGACATGTTAAAATATCTCACATCGATATAATGAAAGAGAAAATAAGAGTTTAAATATTATAATTCTACTCCAACTAATATTGAGATCTTTTGTGTTAAAAACCTCACACCTATTAAACTGTGCAAGTGCTAATTAACAAATTGGAGACAAGATCGATAGTGTTGGAAGTAGATCTTTATCCGTTTTTTTAATAATTTGACAAAGCAAACATACATACGCTCCATATGTCGTAATTTAGTACGATATGAAGCGTAAGAAAGAAAGAAAAAAAAAAAAGCAGCCAAATAGTTTTGGTGAAATGAAATATGAAATAACCTCTACCGTGGGACTCATACTCTATTTTATATAGTCTAATACTTTAGATATCTTTCATCTTATCAGTACATTATCCTAAATTCCTAATCCTGCTAAGATTCCTAGTCAGACTAAACTTCCCTAACTAAGCTAGATGGTTGTAGTATTGTCTTCAATCAAGCATGCGTGATGCGTGATGAGTACATAATAAGGACTAGTAGGTTTGACGTGGTAAGAGAGACAAGGTGAATTTAGTGACCACAAACTGATTAATACACATACAAATTTGTGATTTCTCTAGGGCCCCGTTTATCATATGCCGAATTTGATTGATCCAGCTGCATCACACTAAAATTGATTGGTCCAGCTGTATCACACTAACTTTCGTTTGACAACAACGATTGATGACGTATTTTATAGGAGACGTGAGCATGCCAAATGTACAAAAAGTGTGGCATGACCGTTGTCATGCTTTTTGTAGAATTTTTCAGATCGACAGGCCAAAAGTCCATTCCAATAATATCGATATTGTTCCCACTTAACCGTTTGCACAATCCTCAGGTGTGGGGTTTTATCACAAAATGTCTTGGTGTTAGTTAGAGTAGGGTATTTCTATTTAAAGTGCTTTCTTTCTTGGCTTTTAGTTCTACTCCAGCAACAGCACGCTTGCTTTGTGGCTATTGCCTCATTTTCTTGTACTGTTGTTGACCCTAAAAACTATCAAACTTACGTGATGTGCATGCCGAGTAACTAAGAACTAACTATGTCCTTCTTGTGGTTGATGCGGGTGTGCCACCTTGCCGCCGAGATGAATTGGGCGAGTGCAATAAGTGTGGTGGTGGTGTCAATTGCGTAGCTGGCTTCTAGACCTAGGGTTTTGCTAACTTGAAGACAATGTTGCTAATCTCACAGTGAAGTTCAATCAAGATTCGGCTTTCGTTGTGCCAAAGGGGTAACCTAAGAACACATCACTTCGTTGAAGCTGATGAGATGATCTCTTGAGACAAAAGAATAGAGAATTCCTTGTCCGCCGAGACTTGAATAGATAACCAACAAGGATATGAGAGTTGTTTAAAGGTCTCTTCAGTCAGGCATGTTCTACGCCTCCAATGCTGTTTAACCAAACTGAAGGTGTCGCCGGTTGTTGATACAGTGATGTTTAACCAAACTAAATATTTGTCAACAGGGAGGGGTTAATGAGTAATTAGTATTTTTTTTCAGGTTGTGGAGGGTATCTCATAAAAGCGTTGATTTTTGTATGAGCGACTACAGGCGAGGAAGGAATGCCTCTAGACCTAGGGCTCTAGAACCTAAACACAAGGTTGCTTAATTCACTGCGAAGTTGAGGATATTTTGCACCAGGTTCGGCAACTTCAACTATATCCTTGAAAATATAAGTATGCCAAATAGGTATTAGGCTATAAGGACAAAGATACTCAAATGAAATGAGATCTTTATGGTGAATGTTGTTCAGCAGTCTGAATGTCGAACTTCCAAATACACTTACAAGTAACTAATCATAGAACATCTCACTTCGCTAGGGGAGCTAATAAAGTGACCGCTTTCAGCGAAAGTATCAAAGACTCATCGTTGGCTGAGACTTGGAGGTAGCCAACTAAACCAGAAGTAGTACTGTTTAACCAAATTGAAGGTACTCCTAGGCCGCCTAATTCAATGGCTCTAGTGACTTTTAGCCGAACTGAATATGTTTCCTATTAGCCAACCCAATGATGTTTAAACGAAGTAAATATGTACTGACAGAGGGATTATGATAATTGGTATTTTTCTGAAGATTGTGAGAAGAGTTTCGGGAAGAACGAGGTTCTTTGCGTAACCCGTTTGAGCTGTTTGTTGAGTTGAAAGGGAATTTTCACGTTGCATAGCCTCTCATATTTATAGGACGGCAATGCTTCGGCTAACAGGTTCCGAAACCAATTAGAACTGCAGCATGCTCCTGGAGCTTTATCCCATTTTACTTGCTAACTATCTGATGCTTAAGTCCAGATAACATCTCATGAGAAACAATTCTCATTTGGGGTCATGTGCATGAGGCCTACTTCCCTCCTAAGATGGGACTCTATCATTAGTTACATGGAAGATATCATATCCTTTGCCCCGACACGTTGCATGCATATCCACATAAGTTACAAATAACAAACCTATTTGATGTGCTTCTCACCGTGCCCATCTTAATAGTCATTTATCTTCTTTGAATTTGTAGAATTGGAAAGCAATCACACTGCTCATAAACCTCAAATGCAGCTCGTGCTGAAAGAGAGTCCATAACTCCTGGAGCTTTATTTCTCCCCCGAGTCCATCGTCAGTGAAACCGTGGTACACAAAGGAAAGAGGATGCTCTCCGGATCCTCTTGATGGGGATCCTAAGGATCTTCACATCTTAACCGTTTATCGTACGTTCAGTTTTCATCAGGTACTATTTGTGTTTGATTGTAAATAAAAAAATTCAAATAATTTCTAGCTGCACGATATACGATGAATGACTAAGATGTGAGGATTCTTAAGATTTCCACCATTTGAATCTAGATGGAATCCAAATCTTACTAAATGATAGGATGAGACAAAATTGTAGCTGTGTTGGAGAAAGAGTGTCAACTTCGCTTTTGTTGCATGCGGGACAAATTGTGTAATATTGGGTCCAAACAAGTTTACTCTAAAAGACAGAGTGAAACTGTGAATAGAAAGAGTGCCTCCTCAACCGGTTTACCATCGGCCACATGTGATCATTTGCATGTCTTATGATGCTAAAAACAAACAAGAATAAACAGAAAAACCCCAAATTTTCAACAAGATAGCGACGTAGCACTACATGGTTTCCTCTTGGTATATAAGCCAAACTACAGAAAAAATAAACGTCATCCATGATGATATCTGAAAAATCAGACTGCAACCAAAATTTACAATACATCTTTTAGCTTGTCTTTTGCTTTGCATATCACGAAAAACATATATACACCTCACAGCAAATGAAATTATAGCACGTGTATATTCATTCTGGATAATACGGAAGAGTTCAAGAGGCTACATGAGGGATTTAACTAAGTTGAGCAGCTATGCACTCAAAATTAGCTAAAGGGGATGAAAGAAGGGGAAAACGGTTAGGATTATGATAAGTAAATAGTGCAGTTCTTTTCTAATGTCATAAAAAAAATACAAAAATATTTACGACTATAATAAATAAATAGTTCGTTGATCATTTTCTAGCGTAAACGATTGATCCTGGAACATCTCAATAATCAAATCTAAAGCTGAAGAGGTAGATGTTGTGATTCTTCATCAGTCCTAGCAAGGTTATAATGCGCCTAGAGGAAAATCATTTTTTATTTTAAATGAATGTTTTTATTATCGAGCAATCTATCTCCTACCTCCAAATTTGTCATATTTTTCCTTTATTCTTTCTAACTTACCTTAAAAATAATAACTCATGTATTTCAATTCATTTCTCTCTGCCAAATGAGCCTGTAGTTACTTGAGAAACGCTAAGAAAACTCTTTCAAAGTGAGACTATTTATGCACTATCTGTCACTTCACTGTTTAACGTCAATTCTCATGTCAATATTATAAAATATTATTTTAAAACATGAGGTAACAAATAATCTAAAAAAATTACTTTTGAGAGAATCTGTTTAGCATTTCTTATAGTAACTTATTAAACCATTAAGTATCTTTGAGCT